GGGGGGGGGGAGGGGAGAGAAGATGGGAGAGAAGGGGAAGGATGACGAGTTTATTAAGGGGAGGGAATGACGAGGGAGGAGCGGCAAAGGGGGAAAAAGAGGGGGCCGGAATGATGGAAGAGTGAGGGATATACGCTCTTATTAAGTGGGGGGAAGAGAAGGGTGGGCGATTGGCAGGTGTTCCGCATGTGAGAAGCTGACGAGATGCTGGTTGACTCGCCTCCATAGGTTGTACAGGACACACGGGTATGGACCCAACACAGAGACCAGACTTGCGAGGGCGCGCTGACACGCCTCGCCTTCAGTCTCACTCACCGTCGTGACCTTCTCCCGCCCACCCCCCCTCAACATCACGTCCGATCTCTCCGACCCGCTCGCTCTCCTAAGGTCTCTTTTAGATCCCTAACCCATCTCTCTCTTCTTTCTTTCCACACCCCTGTGTTCGATATCACCATCCCAGCAAAAGATTGTCGGAACGTACAAAACCGGCGGACACATCAGCTCTTCGGCGCGCGGCGCCTCGCCCTTCTCCCCAAAAGGGTTCGATGACGCAGCCAATAAGGCCTCGGCGCCCATCTGACAGCGAAGCCTAATCGGGGGGGGCACACAACGCGTCATACGCCCTCGTGACTAAGCATATAAAGACGGGACACAAGTCATCGCCTTCTCAAGAGCGCTTACCGACACAGCCCCTTTTTCCTTCTCTCTCTAACCCGTTCCGATCTCCCGTCCCACGTTATTTCGCTGACATAAAGAACGTGCTTAATCCCCTCCATCCACATCTCTTTCGGACGAAACCGCCCGTCTCCCGTATCAGAATATCCCCTCACCATTCATCAGTTGCAACGTGATTCACACGCAAAATTGACAAACCGATAAAACGTACAGTTTACGGGGATATGCTACCTAATATATACAAAGTATTGTTAATGCGCTGCCCTTCTCAATGTCCTTTGTCATCCAAGGTCATATGTCCTATCAATGCCGAGCGGAACGGCGGGGTTCATCCCGCTCTTGGACACTCGCCGCTCTCACCTAAGCATTGTGGGTCCTCTGCCCCACGCTACTCACAACGACGGCCCATCGAGCTCTCGTCGGATCCGTTCCCGAACCCTTCGCAGACCTCCATCTTCGTTTCGACCAACCCGTCTAGGACTTCCACCAGGCGACCGTTTGCTCATCTCGGCTACAGCGACCGATCCGGGGCTCGGTGGTGTTGCGAGGGAAGACGAGCTCGGTGCTTCGAGCCATTCGGCCCGGTCGATCACAAGGATTCGCACAAAAAATGGACACAGTTCGGTGAGCATTTTGATCGACAACTGAGCTTCAGCTACAAATTGAGACACCAGACAGTCAGCATTCTTCAGTCGATCTGTACAAGGCACATGGTGCCTGAGACCCACCCTCGGATATTGCCACCTTCGAGCTCTTCACGAGAATCTGGATCGCTTCGTCCATTGGAACAGCACGACGACGCCGAGTGGCCGGCGTAGCCAAATCGCCTCCGGTAGATGAAAACATCCTTAAGGGTCACATTAGCATCCTCCAACAATTCTTTCCTGATTTGTCCGATAGGGGCACTGACATGTATATCCCTTCCGCCACTCCGCCCAGCCGGCTGAGCGCACTACGACGTTTCAGTTCGTCAGGCGTAAATGCGCGCTCTTCTTCGGTCTGCTCGTCACGGAAGAGGATAGTTCCCCGCGGCGTTCCGGCCTTAGCAGCCAACTGTACAGATTATGAGATCTGCGAGATTTTATAGATGACACGATACGCACGCGTTCAAATAGAGCATTTTTGCGGTCCTTTACGCTCGAGCCGCTTGTCGGGGTAATCCTTCCATCGGACTTGGCTGGCGTCACAGGCAATGACGAAGGCAGTCCTCGGATTTTAGTTGGTGTTTCCGGTGGAGTCATGAAGGGGTTATCCGACATTAAAGCTTTGTGCACACGGGTAGGAGTGGGTGTATTGGAAGAGAGTGCTCCCTTCTTCACAGGAGTCGAAGCCAAAGAGCGAGTCCTTGTGGAGGAAGGGGTGGGAAGGTTGGCTGGTTGTATCAATGGTGGTAACGTAGAAGACGGGAATGGTGGCAAAGGGTTGACAGTGTTCTTCTACATCAACATTAGCAGATGCTTCTAGTGCTGCAGGCGGAAAGTTGCCGACCTTCCACCAATCCCTAATCCTCTTCTCAATCAACCGTACTCTGGGCGGTTTCTCAGAAAGCCAGCGACTGGCAACATCCAACCCGGTCTTCCCACCACTCGCACTCGCGTCGACCTCGATGCCGAACGCGTAGACCGTTCTACGCTTCCCAAAATCCTTCTCCAGCACGCGCATCGGGCTGAGGGTAATACCAGTACCTCCTCGCATCCATTCGAGCTCAGACCTACGAGATTTGGTGGGCGTAACAAATGGGTTGTCGTTTTGCTCTTTTGAGTTTACCGGTGTCTCGGGTCGCGTCTCAACCGCTACCGGTGCGACGCCCGCTTCATAGATCCAACAAAGACGTGCAATCTCTGCTGGCGCACAGCGTCTCCCAGCAGCACGCTCCAGTTCGGCGCTTGTACAGATGTTGATGATTGTGAGGGTGTCAATGCGCGTTGGGTGAGCCGACGGAGCCAGAGCAGAACTACCAAGCTTTAAAGCCAGCAGGGATTCCAGCGCGGTATGCAGCTGTAGAAGATGAGATAATGTAGGTGGCAAAGTCGAGGAACGATTGGACTGCTTCTTGGCACCTGGCGAAGAGAGGGTTACGGGCTTTACGGGTGTCGCACGCGGGCTAGGTGGGCTGGTCGGTTCATTAGGTCGCGTGTAAGGTTCAAAGCACGAATACTTACGCCTGCCGCACCTTCTTCGCAGTGACGATCTCTTCATCGCTGGGGTCCGATAAAGTGAACGAACCCGTTGAAGAAACGCGCTGTAGCCTGCGTCTCTTCAAAGGAGTTGTCATGGTGGTCAAAGCCTAGGGAGGAGGCGTGATAGCACAAAGACCCTATAGAGGTGGCTCGCTGGTGGATGTTGGAAGGCGCGTCATGCAGCTCGGGAGAACGTACGGACGGCGGGAAAGGACAGGACCCTAGATCGCTCTCAGACCCATCCTTCCAGCAAGACCCAGCCTCCCAATTATTATTTTATTTTTAATTAGTAATCCAGTTTAAGCTCCGCTTTGATTTTATTTTTTGCATCTGTGTGCTTGTTATCTGTTGCTTAAGAACCAGAACTCCAACAAAGGTTTTCCTCAACATAATATATAATCCACTTAGACATAATATCAACTTTTTGCACTGCCTTTTTACAATATCTACTGTAGTTCCATGGTAGCACATTTTTTCAACTTCTCATCTGCAAACATTTACATCTTCTTCAATATTTCTCCATTCTAATCCTATTGTTCCATAAATGCATGGGCAACAACATAAGCATATCAATTCAAGGCATCCCAAAAACATATAATCTAGTTCCCTACTTCTCCACACTGGCAGTTTTTGTGCTACGGAGATATGCCTTCAATCCTGGTGCCATCAATTTTGCTCCAGGCAATCTCTTCACCCCCTCACATTGTCCTGTGTCAGGGCACCAGCTCATTGCTTGGTCAAGAGACATGACTGAGCCTTTATGACATGGAAGTAGCTGGTATACCTTGGCATGTGCTGGAACCTGCTGGAAGGATTGGATGGTCAGGTGACCTGCTGTGCATGGCTGTT